GTCGGTTTTCATCATTGGAGCATTTGAAAGTGTACCGATACTCTTTCAAATGTTCAGTATCGGTGCAACCCTAATTTTGGTCCATTTTTCCCCACACAAGCAGTCTTCAAATCTTGCAGGTTCCGTGAGCCTTTAGTTCTTTCCATAGTTTTTGTATTGGAGTCAAGTGATTGGCTGGACTATTCTAGCAGCTTTATTTTCTTTGAAACCAGTTGAAAGTTTCCTTGGCTTTGTGTTTGGGATCATTGTTTTTCTGAAATGTCCACCCTCGTTTCATCTTCATCATCCTGGTAGATGGCAGCAGATTTTTATCAAGAATGTCTTTGTACATTTTTCCAATCATCCTTCCTTCAACAACATAAAGTATGCCAGTATCATATGCTGAAAAACAGCCCCAAATCATGATGTTTCCACCTCCCAACTTCAGTTAGTATGGTGTTTTTTGGGTGATGTGCAATGTCATTTGACCTCCAAACATGGTGTGTATTATGGCATCCAAAGAGTTCAATTTTGGTCTCATCTGACCAGACTGTATTCTTCCAGTATTTCACAGGCTTGTCTAACTGTTGTGCAGCAAACATTAAATGAGCTTCAACATGTTCTTTCTTCAGCAATGGAGTCTTGGTGAGCATGCATACAGACCATGGCGGTTGAGTGCATTACTTATTGTATTCTTTGATACCTGCTAATGCCAAGTCTTTCTGAAGCTCTGCACCTGTGGTCCTTGGCTCTTTTACAACTTTTCTGATAATGCTTTTTCACTCCTCTGTCAGAATTCTTTGCAAGGAGCACCTGGTCATGGTCGGTTTATGGTGAAATTATGTTATTTCCAGTTCTGGATCGTGGCCCCAACAGTACTCACCAGAACATTCAGAAGTCTAGAAATCCTTCTGTAACCAATGCTATCAGTATGTTTTTGCAACAAAGTTGCGAAGGTCTTGAAAGAGCTTTTTTCTGGTACCCATCATAAGAGGTTTGTGTGACACCTTGGTTATAAGACACCTTATTATAGGCAATCAGTAGGGATTGATATTAACCACTTGCCTACCAGGCACGTTTACCCCCTTCCTGCCTGAGCATGTGCAGAGTGACTCCACTTGATATTTTCTATCAGGAGATAAGAGGGGGGCACTGGAAGAAGGGGATGATCAGAGAAGAAAGGATCAAACCGCATTTTTACACAATGCAGAGGATTAACCCCTTAGGTTCCACAGTGAGTATAACAAGCATGCTTTACTGCATATACAGACTGATTTTACTGTGTGGGTTTAGGAACACTTTAATTGCACTGACAAGGGACAGAATTGCTGTCTAATTACTGATAGATTTCAGCTGGTGTCTTGGCTTTTTGCACCTCCCTTTCTTCATGTGTTCGATACTTTTTCCCCTGTGTCATTCCATTTTATTACACATAACTTAGTTCTGAACTTATGTGTTTGGTTTCATTGTATGTACGGATCGTATGGGTTGTTACCAACATGTGGTGAAAATTTCATGTCAATAGCACCCTTAGAGATATATTTACTGAGAAAAATGGTGACGTGTTCAATAGTTATTTTTCCCGCTGTATCATCTTATCTACAAAGTACTCAGCCATAATATCACCATATTTATGTTTGCTGTATTATTATTAGAAATATGAAATATATGTGCTTTACTTAGATATACTTAAGTAGTGGAATGCAGAAGGGCTCAAAGTGTATCCAAAATATTTTCATTAATACTTTAACCACTTACTGTTCGGCCCATGTACATAAATGGTTGGATGGGAGCAGTGCAGAAGCGGGTTGCCGTTCATAAATGGCGCCCACATTTACAGCCTGTGCGCATTCCCTGGGAGCGCGCGGCACCACGATTGGGTGCTCACTATGTCCGGAGGACATAAAGGAACACTGATCGCTGTACGTGACCACTGTGTGAGGTCCCGATCATGTGATCACTGATTGGACAATCAGTGATCACATGAATAGTAGTAAGCAAGATGTCACTTGCTGACATCATTGTTTACTACTAGTGAAATCTGTGAATGATCACAAGGTCACATGGTACAAGGCCATTCACAGCAGCTTTGTACCATGTGATAAGCTGTGACCAGTTAAAGCTCTCACAGAATTTCTCAATGGCTGCAAGAATGCAGTCAGAGAGAAGGAGAAATAATTGCTTTTACAGCCTTTATGGGTGTAAAAACCAATCAGTGTAAAAAATCAAAACCATCACCCCCCCCCCCCCCACAACAAGTAGTACAGTGTCACTATGGTACATTGTACTGCTAGGGTGACAGTATGAAAAAAAACAAAAAAAAAAAAAAAAAATGAAATTTTTTTCTTTTTAAATTCTAATAATTTTTGGTTATAAACTACCGTATTTTTTGCTCCATAAGACGCACTTTTTTCCCCCCAAAAAAGGGGGGAAAATGTCAGTGCGTCTTATGGAGCGAATATAAAGTGCCCGGTCCGGGTATTTCTGCCGCCACCCACCATGTCAGAATACCGGGCCAGCTGTTCTCTCCTGCAGGGACCTTACCTGTTCCTCGCTCCAGCGCTGCACAGTCTTCCCGCGCTGGCTTCTGTGACAGCCAGGTGCCCACTGCGCATGCGCTGCGTTTATGTGAATGGTCCAGTGTTTTCTGGGACACATGACAGGTCCCAGAAGGCGCCGGGCCATTCACAAAGCGCAGCGCTTCTCGCGCATGCGCAGTGGGCACCCGGCTGTCACAGAAGCCAGTGTGGGAAGAAGAGGGAAAGACAACTCCGCGGAAGTGGGAGCGGGTACCTGTCAAATTCAGATACTCGCTCCCCCTCGCTCCCCAAAGGTCAGCAGTCTCTGTCATCCCCTGCACTGTCTGCATCCTGGTCATGCACTGCACTGTCTGCAGTCTCTGGTCATCCCCTGCACTGTCTGCAGTCTCTGGTTATTCCCTGCACTGTCTGCAGTCTCTGGTCATCCCCTGCACTGTCTGCAGTCTCTGGTCATCCCTGCACTGTCTGCAGTCTCTGGTCAAAAAAATCTGTACTGTGTCCCTGGTATTTTCCCTGTACTGTGTCCGCAGTCTCTGGTCATCTCCCGTACTGTGTCCGCAGTCTCTGGTCATCTGTACTGTGTCCCTCTCTGGTATTCCCGTACTGTGTCCGCAGTCTCTGGTATCTCCCGTACTGTGTCCGCAGTCTCTGGTCATCTCCCGTACTGTGTCCGCAGTCTCTGGGCATCTCCCGTACTGTGTCCGCAGTCTCTGGGCATCTCCCGTACTGTGTCCGCAGTCTCTGGTCATCTCCCGTACTGTGTCCGCAGTCTCTGGGCATCTCCCGTACTGTGTCCGCAGTCTCTGGGCATCTCCCGTACTGTGTCCGCAGTCTGGGCATCTGGGGCATCTCCCGTACTGTGTCCGCAGTCTCTGGTCATCTCCCGTACTGTGTCCGCAGTCTCTGGTCATCCCCCGTACTGTGTCCGCAGTCTCTGGTCATCCCCTGTACTGTGTCCGCAGTCTCTGGTCATCCCCTGTACTATGTCTGCAGTCCATTGGTTCAGAATATTTTTTTTTCTTGTTTTTCGCCTCTAAAACCTAGGTGCGTCTTATGGTCAGGTGCGTCTTATGGAGCGAAAAATACGGTAATTTGGGTTATTATTTTTTTTTTTTTACTATAAAAGATAACTGAATACATTTTGGCCAAGATTTCTAAAGAAAGATTATTCATTTGCAAAATTTTAAAAGTAAAACACTTTTCAAAATTTTTGGACTTTTTCATTTATATAGCAAAAAAAAAAAAAATTTAAATCCCAGTGGTGAATAAATACCACCAAAATAAAGTTTTATCCGTCTCAAAAAAATGCCAAAAAATTCATATAGGTACAGTGTTGCATGACTGCGCAATTGTCATTCAAAGTGTGATATCACTGAAAGCTGAAAATTGGCCTGGACAGGAAGGGGGTGAAAGTGTCCGGACTTGAAGTGGTTAAATATGGATCGCCATGTAGGAGCACACCTCTTTGTAGCTAAAATGTCCGGTTTAGATGGTAATATATACAAAACATTAATAATCATAAAGACACCACACCCTCAGAAAACATATCATGCCCCCTAAGTAAAATAGCATTGTTAAACCTTTAGAGCAGGGGTCCTCAAACTACGGCCCGTGTGCCACATGCGGCCCGCCGAGCACATTCATCCGGCCCGTCGGCAGGGGACACTAAGTACAGGGGCGGGCAGGGGGCTGCTGTTCTCTTACCTGGCTCCGGTCCCACGACGATCTAGTCCAGGATGCGCAGCTCCCTCACTCGATGTCCGTGCTGCCGCCCGGCTCCGCCTCCTCACCGGTGATTGGGCGCCAGTACTGTAGCTCAGGAAAGGCACACAGGCGGCCAATCAACGGCGAGGAGGCGGAGCAGAGCGGCCCCGCGAAAAATCAAGGGAGGGAGAGGCCGGAGTGAAGGAAGGAGGACAACTGACCGCCCCGGTAAGTGTGCCGTGCAGATGGTACTGTTGCAACCAGGTATGCTGGCTGCAGCAGCACCATGCTGGAACAGGGGTCGGCTAGTTTAAGTGTCATTGCTGTCAGGAGGAATAGTGCCCCATCATTGGTGTCACTGATAATAATGAATGGGGCACTATTCCTCCCCCCACTGACAACCAACGATGGGGCACTATTCCTCCCCCCCCACTGACACCAACGATGGGGCACTATTCCTCCCACTGACACCAATGGCAAGCTGGGGGTGGGGTTACAGCACCTCATTGAAGATCCGAGAGAAAGACATTCCAGGTCCATCAAACATTTTGGGACAGACGCATTAAGCTCAGCCTATCTCCACCCATTGGTCAGCAGCCATGAGGTTTAACATTTCCTAAATTTTATCCCAAAAGGTTTTTTAAAAATACAGTAGCTTTCAAAATACTTTGTTAAAGTGAACAGAACATATCTAAGGGCAAAGATAAAAGATAAAAACACTAACAAGTCTCCTGTGAAAAACAACATGTAAGACATAAAGAACATTGTTAAACATACCGCAACATTGCCGCAAGTCTGAAAGGCAGTGAACATGAACATAAAGGCAAAGCCCAAGATGAAGATGTTCATCAGTTTCTTCTGTTCTGGAGTCATGATTTTTCTTTTATGATGGATTGATTAAAAAAAGGAACAGAGGACACCAGCCTGTACAAAGAGTGAAACAGAGAAAACACTATTACCAATAAATATTCTTACCATTTAAGTTTTTTATAGGCACTGTATCATGTTTTTCTACAGATTGTCTTTTTTATGTTGGAAAAAAAACCACACAGTTGCATTCTGCAAGTGCTATTGTTCCAAAGCCAAATCAATGAGGTAAAGCGTTTACAATAGGTATTAATATTATTATTATTATACATGATTTATATAGCGCCAACAGTTTGCACAGCGCTTTACAATATAATGGGAGACAATACAATTACAATACATTTCAGTACAGAAGGAATAGGAGGGCCCTGCTCGTGGAGCTTACAATCTAAAAAGGTATGCACCAAAGATTCTGTGGCCGAAACGTGTTGGCCGAAAAACCACCCCCATCGGCATTCGGTCGATCTGAAAATAAGCCCCTCGCTGCTACCGCCGCTTGATGGTTCTCAGCCTTATCTGAGAAACCACCAAAATTTAGTAGATATAAACTGCTAAAATACCTCAACAGTTAGAGCAGCCTTGTGACTTCAGCAGAGCACTGGTTAAAGCTTTTAGGAGGAGTTTTCATTCTCCCCTGACTGTCCTAAGAGGCTGCATGACCCCTGGCCTTCTGTCTGGACAGTGCCTCTGGATGGCCCTGTGCTGATCATGTGCACCCTGCCCAAAAAAAACACATCTCTCTAGCAATACACACCAAACTGAGCATGTGCAGAGTGCCTCTTAAGGCTCTGTACTATCTGCAGATGGTTTGGGGACTGTGAAAGAAGGGGAGGACCAGAGAAGACAGGATCAAACAGCCTTTTCTCACAGTGCAGAGGATTAACCGCTTACGTTCCACAGTGAGTATAATAAGCATGCTTGACTGCATATCTGCTTCCTCTTGTACCAAATTGTATTGTAACTGTAGTGTCTACCTTCATTTTGTAATGCGCTGCTCAAACTGTTGGCGTATATAAATGATGTATAATAATAATAAATATAAAGACTGATTTTACTGTGGTGGGTTTAATAACACTTTAAGAGTGTTTTCACCCTAGAACTTTTAGTTTATTGTTGGAAGAATCAGCAGGTTATAAAAAAAAAAGTAAAAAAAAAAAAAAGTAAAAAAAAAAAAAAAAAAAAAAAACAAAAACTTGATTGCAGCCACCACATCTAAGGACTGGCAAGTTACTTTAGGTGACATTTTTATTTAGGGGGTTAGATACATTTTGAAGAAGCACAACTACACAAAACATTAAATATCCTTTCAAGTGTGCGTAGCAGGGAGCTGCATGCCAGCGGCTCGTGTTAGTTAATTGAGACCCAGAGGCTGTATGGACACCCAGGTAGAGTACAGAAAGTGTGTATCCGGGGTCACCCGTCCTTGTAAGTCTGTCAAGCTCTGATGTTCATACAATCATTGTGTCTCTACTAATGCAGGCCATAGATGGGTCGAAAATCGGCCGATTTTCGGATCGTTAGTGGGCTATTTGGTCGGCCGTTTTTCGGTATTTTGGCCGTTTTTTTTTTTTTTTCTGTAAAGTTGGAAAAAAAAATCGGCCGATTTTGCCGATCGGCCGATTTTCGCGGCAATTAGTGGGCAAATCGGGGCCGATTTTTTGCCGATAAAAAAAATCTGCGCATGAGCAGTGACCTGCAAGAGGAAGACAAAAAGAAGAAAAAGAAGAAGAGGATGAAGATGAAGAAGAGGATGAGGAAGAAGAGGATGAAGAAGAGGATGAGGAAGAGGATGAAGATGAAGATGAAGAAGAGGATGAGGAAGAAGAGGATGAAGATGAAGAAGAGGATGAGGAAGAAGAGGATGAAGATGAAGAGGATGAGGATGAAGAGGATGAGGATGAGGAGGGATGAGAGGAGGATGAGGAGGATGAGGAGGATGAAGAGGATGAGGAGGATGAAGAGGATGATGAGGATGAAGAGGATGATGAGGATGAAGAGGATGATGAGGATGAAGAGGATGATGAGGATGAAGAGGATGATGAGGATGAAGAGGATGATGAGGATGAAGAGGATGATGAGGAGGAAGAGGATGAGGAGGAGGAAGAGGATGAGGATGAAGAAGAGGATGAGGATGAAGAAGAGGATGAGGAGGAAGAAGAAGAAGAGGATGAGGGATGAAGAGGATGAAGATGATGAGGATGATGATGGATGAAGAGGATGATGAGGATGAAGAGGATGAATGAGGATGAAGAGGATGAAGAGGATGAGGAGGAAGAGGATGAGGAGGAAGAGGATGAGGATGGAAGAGGATGAGGATGATGAGAGATGAAGAGGATGAGGATGAAGAGGATGAGGAAGAAGATGAAGAAGATGAAGAAGATTGAAGTAAGGAGAAGAAGAAAAAGAGAAAAAGAAAAAGAAGAAAAGAAGAAGAAGAAGAAGAAGGGGATGAGGATGAGGATGAAGAAAAAGAGGATGAGGATGAAGAAGAAGAAGAAGAAGAAGAAGAAGAGGATGAGTATGAGGATGAAGAAGAAGAAGAAGAAGAAGAAGAAGAAGAAGTAGGATGAAAATAAGAAGAATTCCAGTCCAGCAAAAAGTGTCTCTGCAGAGAGCTCCGCTATTTCTGACAGTTCTCTGACAGTTCTTTGACATTTACAGCGGGTTGCAACAATGTATCTATTTGTTTCCGAATAAAAACATCTGTATCCTAAATGGAAACAAATAGATACAATGTTTCAACCACTGTAAATGTGAAGGAACTGTCAGAAATAGCGGAGCTCTCTGCAGGGACACTTTTTGCCGGCTGTAGAAGGGATGAAAATCGGCCGATTTTTTTTACCATTGATGGTAACGTCAGCCGCTTGAACGACCGAATTTTCGTTTTTTAAAAGAAAAATCTGCCGTTTTTCTCCCCATCTATGGCCTGCATAAGTAACACAGGCTGCCTGCAAACAGATCCACACTGAGCCGCCAGAAGCAAAAACAAACATTTCTTTAAGCCATGTCACCTCTGCACCCATGTGAATAAGCCCTAATGCCTGCACCCCTGCCCATCCCCCACGGTTCTGGTTCAAACCTTCCCGGATGAGAAGCATCTGTATACATATTTCTGAAGCCTGCCAATAAAGGAAGATTTCTGACAGTCCAACAAGAGGGACAATAATCAGTAGCACATCAGGAAATTTACCTTCATTTGTCTTGTTTTTATTTTTCATGAAATGTATTTATGTCAGGTACTTATATAGCGCCATCAATTTACGCAGCGCTTTACATATATATTGTACATTCACATCAGTCCCTAACCCTCAAGGGGTGTACAATCTAAAGTATGCTGTATATGTCGGCGAGTTTTGTATAACAAATTAACATTTAAGGAGTATGAAAAAAACACACACCTTATATCTGGGGTTATTTTGATTTCTTGCACTTTTTGGTCTATCAGTAAGGGTCTCACTGTTCTTGGTGAGATTTATTGTGCCTTGCAGTTTTGGTGCACTAAAAGCGCACTTATAGGTCCTGCATGCATCAATGTGATAGGGGCCTAAGGGTTTTTTTCACACTTGTGGTAATGTCAGCTGCCCTCTGAAAAGCAATTTGCAGTAGATTGTTTTTCAGAGGGCTTTATAGCGTACAGACGTTCAGGAGGTGTTACTGCAGCCTCCTGATGACTGAATTTTACTATTTTTAAATTGCTGAATGGCAATTTTAAAACAGCAAGACTGCGCCACAGCAGCGAGCCAAGCGTTTACCTAGCAATCCCCTGCAGCCCAAGTTAAAAGTTAGTGGTGCGCGCCGAAGTGAACATTCTGGTGCAAAAACCAAAAATTCAGGATGCACTTGGCCGAAAAACCGAAACAGACATTTTTTAAAAAACGCAATTTAAAAAAAAAAACACTTTAATGAATGAAAAAAAAAAAATAAAAGCACAACATATACCCCAATTTTTTTGTAAAATAAGAAAGATGATGACATGTTACACCGAGTAGATACCAAACATGTCATACTTTAAAATTGCGCACACTCGTGGAATGGCACTAAATTACGGTACTTAATCTCCACAGGTGACTCTTTAAAAATAAAACACAACAAAAACACTTTACTCCTGCGCTAGGAAAGGACTCAGTAGACCCAATAGGAATGTTCTGGATATGCTCTGCTTGCTGCCCTCAACAGACCGGGGTGGTCCGAATACACTGGATACAAATGGAGAAACAGAAAAAGGGCGCACCGACCTAGTGCATTATCGTTTAAAATAATTTATTAAAGAAACAAAAATAGGTATCATACTCACAATGGACATAATAACACAGGCATGTCAAACTGAACAAGATGTACGATCCAAACAACATCTGAGTCCATACGATGGAACCCTGGATGACCAACTGGCTAACGCGTTTTGAGGACACAACCTCTTCTTCGGAGCCTCTTGGCTCTGCGTTAGCCAGTTGGTCATCCAGGGTTCCATCGTATGGACTCAGATGTTGTTTGGATCATACATCTTGTTCAGTTTGACATGCCTGTGTTATGTTCATTGTGAGTATGATACCTATTTTTGTTTCTTTAATCAATTATTTTAAACGATAATGCACTAGGTCGGTGCGCCCTTTTTCGGTTTCTCCATTTGACTCTTTAAAAATGTCTACAGGTTACAAGTTTAAAGTTACAGCAAAGGTCAAGTGCTAGAAGTATTGCTCTCGCTCTGATGTTCGCGGTGATAACTCACATGTGGTTTGAACACTGTTTTCATATGTGGGCATGACCAGGGGCGGACTGACAACTCATGGGGCCCCCGGGCAATAGGGATCATGGGGCCCCTGTGTCCTTGCCCACACTCAAAGCACACCCAAAAAAGCCTATAAAAAAGGTACCAGGGGCATTTCATGGGGCCCCCTACTGACCCCAGGACCTTGGGCAGTGCCCGAGAGCTCAAATGGTCAGTCCCGCCCCTGGGCGTGGCCTACATATGCGTTCCCCACTGTGCACGAGCATGGGGGGGAGGACAT